AATCATTATTAAAAATGAATAAATGTACGAGTACGCAATTTATTCTTTTCTTTCAAGCGGAAAACGACGGATCACTACTTTCAGAACATCCGGTATTGTTAATTTATTCATAGCGATGTACTCTGTATTGATGCTTCGTAATGCGTTAGAGTCGCGTGAAGGTTGTTTCGAAAGTGAACAAACCAAGTACGCAACATTTTCTTTTATCGCCTTTTCACATTCTTTACAATACTTCTTTACAATACTCGGTTATACATATATTTTAAGAGAATTAAAATATACCATAAATTTCTCTAACGGTTTTCTTGTGTTTTTTGCATCATTGCGTGTCAGACGCTGGGATCAATTAAGGATCATTTGGCGTGACCTGTATTTCTTGATTATACTGATACTTCTGGGAAACGTAAGCCGGTCGTTACATCGTTCTTGTTTATCTATTGCGAGGAAGAGATCAAGTTTACTTGATCGAAATAATCGCAAGATACGTACGATAAGTAACGTAAGATAATTATGTTTATAACGTAATCAGATAAATCGAATGGCAAAGATTTAAAGTAAGTTTAATTTATTTTTGTCTTAATTTTGAAAATACGGTTACAGATGAATTTTTTAATGATTATTGAAAGTCTACGAATTGAAACTAAATGTATTTGCCATCGACAAATTCAATTAATTTCTTCTTTTTAAATGATTTATTGTCAGTGATCAGTAGCACATGTGCTACACACGCAATTGTGAAAATTGCGATGCATTTACAGTGAGAGTTTGCATATTGTATTGTATTAAATTCGTGCGATAAAAGCGACGATATTTCTTGTCTAGACTCTGCAGTTGGAAAATATTGCACTAATCAGTTCTAAAAATAATCTGCAAAGCCACGTTAGACGAACGAATAGATATTTGATGTCTCTTCCATATATTAGATGTACAAATAATTCAATGAAAAAGTAATTCGTTCCTTAGGCTAACCATGCGTCTTTGTTTTTCTGCTGTCAATCGCAGACCCTACTTAATGACATCGTATGAATTAAAATAAGTATGTAGCATACATTTTAGATAGGACGAATAATTTTATGCATTCTTATATTAAAAAAGTACGAAAAACAATATAAAAAATATATCGAATATAGAGATTCTTTTTCACTTTGAACGATTTTCTAACTTATTATTTTACATTCGTCGTTATGCAACGGAAAAAAGTAAGCATGGAATAGATGTTTTATATAAATACAAATTTTGAATATATAATTAGAATATTGATAAAAAAAATATTTTTCATATGTGCATCGGGTCTGCGATTAGGCACGCTAATTCCGTAAATATAGCGATATCCGTGTATTATCTAATGTTATTCGAAGGACTTATTTACAGTATGATTCATTGTAAATCCTTAGAAGATGTATACGAGAGAGAAAGGATTGTAATTAACAATTACAATCTTCACTTCCTTACTTGTAATTTGTTACGTATATTTAATTTTATATACGCGCTTTCTACACACATACATCTTTTTATAATTCTCTCGCACGCATCATTCCAATTTACATAGTTATAGCTTATTACAAAACGATATAGTAGTTATATACTCATCACTATATATTTCGAAACTTTCGTCGTGTGATGTACTATTATAAATCAATTAGATACACTCACAATCAAGAGTATCTAATTTTGTCCGGCGACATGTGTAGGTATAACCGGAAATCCTTATCAAAAAATACAAATCCGCTTAATATCATTGCAGGTTTCATGCAGTGCAATATCATCCATTTAGCATACATTATCCACAACGCGCTAAATTATATCCATCGAAATATCATCGCAACCTTTTATTATCCTATTATATAGCGCGTAATAATCACTTTCACCATAATCTTTTTATCGGTGTTTTCTAATAACCTGCGAATTTTTAAATATACGATTAAGATTTAGTATAGAAAAAGGATTTGTAGGAAAGTCATGGTCCGACGCTGACTTGGATCTTTTGGTCTCTCGTACAGCAGATTAGTTCAATCAGATTGAGAATCTTTTCATCAGTATATAAAAATAAGATAGTAAATAAATTATGTATTTGCCAATCAGTATTTTCTATCTTTAGTAAATTATAAATTGAAAAAATGATTCATTATGAAAATGTCTAAATTAATAAATGTCTAATTAACTTTGCCCAATTTAATACATGTCTGTGTTATTAATTACTGAAGTAATATTATTTTTTTAATTCATTAATATCAATAGAAAACGTAACAATTCTATTCGCGTTTGTTTTTTTCTATATAACATATTTCTGCTCGATTATGATTGAATAAAATGAGATAGGAATTAAATAAATATGTATGATTCTCGTTACTGCCAAACAAGACATTAATTCTCTTTCTCTCTCAAAAAGATAACACAAAATATTTTAAAGGTATCAATAACTAAATTTTGCAATATTTTTATCGCTGTAGCATTTTTGCAATAAAATTTATGGTATTATTTATAGTATTTATACGTAAAGAAAAAACAAAATACAAGTTTGTGAAATGGAAAATTATAATACAGAAAGCAAAAAGTTAATTACTATAAGAAAAATGATTAAATTAAAATCAAGTAAAATGTTAAAGCATAAATGTAAATTTTAAAGCATAACACATGTATACATTTTTATAAGAATACAAAATATTGTTTTTTTTTCTAGTGTCCATAAGTCATACAAGTATATAAAGCATAATGAAGGTAAAGATTATATATCGTATAAGAAATTTATCTATATTTATTTGCACGACATACTTCGGTGAAGAGTATAAATGCAGTAGAGTAGCAGGCGATTTACAAAGAAAGGGATACCGGTGAGACGCATGGTTGTAGTGACAATCCAAGATATTTTTATACACAAGACTTGTGTGTACAGACACAGATACAGATTAGTGTCATCTCCTGTCAACAAAATATATAAACAAAATTAAACAGCTGATAACTCCTTATTGATTAGATACAGATAGTTCTATTTTTTCTCGTTTTTTTTTTAACACAGAGGATCAGCACGAACAATATTAAAACAATGCATTTAAAAGTATATACCATTTAGTTATCCCATTTACATTATACACACTATGTCTTCACCTGCATGCATTTCCAGGCAATGTTTCTAAAGATGTCGAGTATAAGAATCCATGTAAAAGATAAACAATTGTACATTTAATTTAAAATTCTTTGGTACTACGAGAGTACCCTCCATGGAGATAATCTTTCTATAACATACAGATTTCCTAGTAAACTTTGTAAACGTAAAACGTCAATATAACAAATTGAGCGTTTGGGACGCTGTGTTAGTAAATGGTGTTCTATTTGCTTATGACATATATGGATAACGGAAAGCATATGTATATGGATAATCTAAAATAAAAATATACGCTTAAATTATTGCAGCTTTAACATAGCCTCAAAGTCAACCGAGAGAAGTGAGACTACCGACAGCTTTCGTAATACTTTTCCACTTATCAAAAACTTATTCAATATTTTGATTAAAATATAATATTATGCTCAAAAAAAAAATGTTAGAGGGATATTACATGTGCTCCTTTCTAAAACGATATTGTATCTTTTTCTCTTACCTTTCCTTCGCGCATTAATTGTCCAATATTTGCTATTTGTCTTAAAGCTATAAAAGATTAGAATTTATGTTAAGGATATACAGCCTACAGTTATTCAGATATATCAATATTCAAACAATTGTTTCGTTGCTGTCTAAAAATATCCTTAACTTTCCATGTGTGAAGTTTTCTTTTATCCACTAAAATATGAATAACCATCCTAGTGCCCGATTCTTAAAGATATTCATTAATTACATATATAGTATAATTCATTTAATAGATATATTATACAAAATATCTCTGCATCGTTGCAATTGTTTGACAAAAGCATACAAGTAACTTAATATTACACATGTTTAATAGATAATTTTATATTACGGGATGCTTCTTAATATTGATAACATATTTCTGTCGCATTTGGCAGTAACACAAAAGTATCGGAATAATATATAGCACCGATCGTCACGTAAAACTGGATCGATGACAATAAAAGCTTCCGTTACTGCGTGAAACTAAAACATAAACGAGCAGATTGAAATAGGAGATTAATCAAGGTTAGACAATACATATATCTCCCAATTATTCTATCTTATGAAAAAGTATTTATTACTTCAGAATGCGATAAACACAATTTTTCAGTGCGAGAATTTTATGTACACTAAATACCCTATATTTCAAAAGCGAGCTTACTCTGCATATAATGGTGAATGCAAAAAGAATGCAGATACTCCATCAATGATAAATATATTATAAAGAATTTGGATGTTTAAAATAGACATCTTTGTCAAACATATATATATATATATATAATGTGTATATATATTATATATATATATAATGTATATATATATATGTGTTACATATATATATATGTATATTATATATATATGTGTGTGTATATATATATATTACATATATATATATGTATATATATATATGTGTAATTGTTGTAAACAAATGTATGTAAAATGTCGAACACGAATCCTGTTCGGTTATTCATTCCCATACAATGTCATACGTTGAACTCATCTGTTGCCAGATAATAAGAAAATCATAAATGAACATGCTAGCCGTGTTTTTACGTGATGCAAGTATGAGCATTTAGATGCGATATGTCGTACCGTCCGTTAGAAAACACTATAAACATGGAAAAAACTTACTTAACTCCAAAAAATAACCATGTCGCCATTAACGGTACTTATGTCTTTACAAAAAAGATTCTCGCGCACTCTCACGAAAAAATAAGATGACAGCGAGTAAGAAACGTAGTACAGAAAGACGTTGACGTTCACGAAAACGATGAAAGGAGAGAGAGAAAGAGAAAAAAAGAAAAAAAAGAGGTATCCGTAAACTCAACCTATATGTAAGAATTGGAAGAGCAAAGTATTCTTCTTTGCTCTCATAGGTTGAGTCTACGAATATCTCTTTTTTTTTTCTTTCTTTCTCTTCTTCGTTCCATCGTTTTCTTGTCGTTTCTTATCACATGTTCATATCTTTCGCTTACTTGTATATCACGTCATTTAGCTGATAATACATTGATTTCATTATCGTTGTTAGGCATATAGAAATTAAATAATGAGTAGCGTTGCTTATGGGAGTTTCGGCTGTACGAGGCCAGGGAGATAACAGGCTCACGAGAAATTATCACTAGGTGGTTCTGTTTTCATTTTCTTCTGTGGAGAAGTCACTTGCGAGCGTAGATCTGTGCTAGCGGGTCTCTTCGCTTGCGAATTATTTTTCACTGCAGTGGTTGGATCTGCTAATAACAAAGTGTTTATTCAGATGTATTCCTTTGAAAAAATTTGTTAGGACAAATCGCGCGACTAACCTTGCAACCACCTGACTTGAGTGGCTGGTCCGTATCCTTTGTCGTTCCGTGCTGCTATTCTAAAAATTATGGCCGGTTTCGTAGTGGTGTCCACGTGAGCGGCATTAAGGGCACTATTGTTCACCGAACAAAAATTACTCGAACCGCAATAAACTCTAATAAAAGCTAACTGATTTGGATTCGACACAATTGTTTTTGGTTCTCCGTCATTGTTCAACGCGGTACTTCGCACTGCCAAATAGACGGAATATTCGAGAATGGGCCCAACGTTACTAGAAGGTGGTTCCCAAGAGATTTGTGCACCGTCTATGGATTTTGATATCTTTATAGCACTCGGTGCGCCCGGGAATCCCGGAAGACACGTCTTGAATGCCGCTACCTATAACGAAAGTGAGGATTCGTAATCAATTTGCAAATTTTTTCTCTTTGTTGAAAAAACTCGTTCTTCTTATCGAATGTCGCTAAATATAGAATTAAATTGGTTACCTCGCTCCAAGCACTTCGTCCACAACTATTCACAGCGGCAACTCTAAACTTATAGGCAGTTCCTGGTTCTACTGCTATTTTAGTTCTTCCTTTAAAAACATCCATTGTCAAATTTTGTGTTACATCTAATGGTTCATCACCAGGAAGATAATAATGCTGAACAGTAAAACTAGTTCCTTTTATCACTCCCACATCATACCATTCTGCCTCTTTCTTTTCTTCTTCGCTCTATAAAAAAAGCAGTTAATAACAACATTTGTATTTCATTTAACATAATAATAAAATGATATAGACAATTAATAAAATCTACCTGTTCATTTTTTATTTTCATCGTTGGTTCAGCCGATCCCAAAGCAGCAGTAGCTAATGTTGTCAAAGCTGTTGAATCATCTCCTGTTTCTGATCTAGCGTCATTAATCTTTTCTTGTTTCTCTCTTTGAAGATTTTCTTTCTTTGAAATGACAAAATCATCCTTTATCTCCATTTTCATGGGAGTATGTACTTTTTCCATTTCTTTCTCGACAGGTGCAGCGACACCATTGATCGGTGATATGGGCAAATCGGGCAATATAGCTTGTTCGTGTTTTATAAATTCATCTTCTGGCTCTGATTTCATTTGAATGGTTGGTATAATAACGGGAGTTATTACATTATCTGTCGCAATCGATGTACTATTATCAGTAATCATCGGTTCATCATCTTCGTTTGATTTTATAAGAGAACTCTCGGTTGGAAGATCAGATTCCAAGTCTTCAATTTCATCTTTTATCTCAATTTTTTGAGTATTGTCTTGGGGTTGATGCGATGCATCCGTGTCTTCGGTAAGATTTTCAGATATTAGCGATTTTTCGTTTTCAGACAACGATTCACACTTAATGTCTTTCACCAGGTTATCCTCATCTTGCTGAGTTTCATCGATTTCCGTTATCGGATTTACAACGTCCGTTAGAGAAGTCTGTTCGGATGAAGCCTCAATGGCTGATTGTACTAAAGGCAATTCGGATTTTATTACTTTTTCATCATCGATTACTGACTGAGAATCCTTTATCTCCTCTTTTTCACTTGGTAACTCTGAATCATCAGCATTAATTTCCATAGCTGCTTTATCATCTACTGATGAATTATTAACATCTTTAGCTTTCTCGGTTTCATTAGTGGTAATCGATTCAGGAAGATCGGCTGTTGTCGCTTCATTCTTTTCTCCAGCCTCGGCAACTTCTTTTACAGTTGATCCCTCTGTTTGAATATTTTCGGATACATCAACATTTTGTTCTGTTACTTCTGCCAATTCAGCGTTAGATTCGGTAACATTTTCCGCAGCAGGTTCTTCATCTACATCCATCTTGTCTTCATCTTCTAATAAGAGATCGTCTATCGGACCATCTACTTGCGGAAGCACAAAGTTTCCGTCACCGTCGACTTGCATTGGTTCTCCTGCACCCATCTGAGAAACTAAAGCAGCCGCTGTGGTCGCTTCGTTGCCATTACAGCTATCCTCCATTTTATCATCACCACCGGCACCATCATCCGTAGTTACCATGAATGATAAACCACCAGATGATTCCTGAACCGGATCTATCAGACCAGCTTCTGCCGCTAATGCAGCTAATGCAGCATCAGTAGTAGCGGGGCCATCAGAAGTAGATGCTGAAATATTATTTTATCGTGTAAATTAATGTCATAAATAATTTTCATTGTTTTATGCTGTATATCGCAATATAACTTTACCAAGGGAGGCCGATGGTTGTTTTTGCGATGAAACAAACAGCATTTTGCTAGCGTCTATTGAATCTGACGCGCTAGTAGTTACTATGGAGCTGCTACTTGTTGGTAAAAGCGTAACCGTCTTTGCGCTTATACCTGCAGGCATTTGCAAAGTCACTGGTTTTCCAGATACAGCTACGGCTTCCTACAGTTTAACAAGTACTTATAAAGAATTCTTATATGCTAATTGTCATTATTTAGTAATAATCGGTTTAGTAATAATTTAGTTCATATCTTATAAAAAAAATACATAAATATTTCTTGTTATACTTACAGGTGCCTTTTGTATTTGTGGTACTGTAACGAGTTGATTCTTGCTAGTATTAAAAATGGTTTGCGCACCGGTCTTCGCAGCAATAGTCACTGTTTTTGGTACACCGCCTTGTCCTGGGACTGTGATTGTTAAAGGTTTCCCAGCCGTTCCACCGCCCATTGCACCAGAGGAAACAACAATCATTTTGACACCTTGTTGATTCGTGACATGATTGGTAGCTGATAATGGCAAAACATTTACGGGAGTAGCTACAGAAGTAGCTCCTTGTCCTGCACCAGCTTGTGATGTTGTTACAGCTTGTACAGCTCTTAGACCAGAGCCTGTGGTAACAACGATAAATTGGTTGGTTCTGCCGACTAATCCACTATTTCCTGTCGGTTTGGTGATCATTATGGTTTGCTTGCCAGTAATGTTCTGTCCTTTACTCATCGTCACTATGTTGGACGTTTTCATAGTCGTGAGGATTTTTGATCCCGCAACCGTATTAGGATTTACCAATCGCAGTATTGTCGGTCCCTGATTAAGAGGTTTCGCGCCCGTTGTTTGAACACTTTTGCCTGGGATCAGACTTACCTTAGGTACCACCATTCCTTGTCCAGTTTTCAAAAGATGTACAATCTGTGGCTGACCAGCTATATTTTGGCCGGGCTTTTGCAGTATGATCTGTTTGCTCTGCTGTGGTGAAGCAGTGCGTAACACTGTCGCACCAGGTGCAGCGAAACGTATTTGCTGACCCGGTTGTACATTTTTCATTCTGATGGTGTTGGATGCAGTCGCAGTCGCAACTGCAGTTTGTGGCACGATTGAAACATTGTTCATAGTAATTTTTGGAGTGGCTGCTGCGGCTGCGGCCAAAGCAGCGATTCCAGACATGGCAGCGGGCGTTTGACCAGCCGTAGTTGTAGTCGTAGTAGTGATAGTAGTAACAGTTGTTTGTTGCTGCTCAGTAGTAACGACTGCTACTGCTGCTGTAGCCACTGCTGCTGAGGAAGTGACCAGAGGAGACCGAATACGTATGACGTTACCGGTTGCGACTCTCGGGGTCATAGGACTTATCGACTTTTGCACTGCTTGCGATGATACTGGTTTTTGCACAGGACTTGCACTTTGAATTCGTAATGGAGTCGCTACTGCCGTTGCTACAGCTGTCGCAACACGACGGCAGCAACAGGTGGTGTAGTCGATGGAAGAACGGCAATAGTAGTCACAGGCGGAGATGTGACAGGTATAGTTGTAGGAGTTGCTACCATTGCAGAGGTTGTTGTCGCAACAGGAGTGCTGATGATAGGCGCAGTCGGCGTCGGTGCGCTTACCAATGGGTAGGCACTACCAGTTGCCGCTACTGGAGGCATGTCATACTTTTGTATTTGTAAAATATAGTATTGCGCGGACGGGCTTGCTGTCCAGCTGACTTCCAACGACTGCGTGGAAGCCCTAATCAGCTGAACTCTGGAAGGTGCCGCTGGTTTACTGACTTCAAGATACCACAAATCTTTACAACAAACCTAGACAAAAAAAAAGATTTTCATTTTGTTAATACAATAATATATCATCCAAACAAAAGTCATGCTATTCTAATTAACCCTAACCTGATTATTCCAAGCTTTGCGGTAACCATCTCTACCAGACCATACATAAAGTCTACTGTGTACACCAACTGCACAATGACCAGCACGAGCACGAGGAACATTCTCCTCCAAGGAATCAACGGTCAGTTGTTCCCAAGTGAGAGTTTCTGAAACAGTAACATTTGATAATATTTTTATCTTCTGAACTGCATTGATTAAGTTATCCATTTAATACATCAAATTGTATGTTCAACAGTAAAATTTTGTCATCTTTTATTGGCTAAATAATTTTATTATCGATACGTTGATGATATTATCTTAGCTGCTCTATCTGAGAGTGTTTGTGATATTTTGGATATTTTTAATTCGTTGCACACTAGATTGCAATTCACCATGGAGATTGGCTTTGATGGAAAAATAAGTTTTTTAGATACGATGATTATTGAAGAACGGAATCTTATTTTTGATATATACCGTAAAGCAACCTTTTCCGGTAGATTTCTTAATTTCCATTCATATCATCCACTTTGTCATAAAAGAGGTGTAATTTTTGGGGTTATGGATAAGATTTTTTGTTTGTGTCATCCGAAATTCCAAAATAATTTAATTGATGCTATTAAGATTTTTTTACAGAATCCGTTACGGGTATCCGTTACGTTTTATTTTTTCGACTATTCATAATAGAATTAAATATCACATTAATAAGATTAATAATTTGAATAAAAATAAGGATGACACTGAGAGATTTTTTTACGATTCCATATGTTATTATGATATCCGAAAAATTTATATCTATTGTTAACATGTTTTATTGTAAATTAGCTTTTACCATTCCTAACATTAAGAAGTTTCATAAACAGAGGAAAGGATGATTTAGAACACGTTCAGAATCAAAATGTGGTCTACAGAATATCTTGCGAGGATTGTGATGTCAGTTATGTTGGCCAAACTAAAAGACAATTAAAGACCAGATTGCATGAAACATGTTTCTGATATCAATATAAGTTCAAAATCTCCATCAGTGATTTCCAATCATCGTATTGAGGAGAATCATAACTTTAAATAGGATAAAGTGGATATATTAGATGTAGAGTCTTCATATATAATAAAAGGTTGATATTTGAAATGGTCCACATTAAAAAACAGAAACATAGAATAAATAGACAAAATGACAAGGAGTCTTTGCCGGAATTGTATTCTGACATTATACATTCTCTTTCTCCTTCCTAATATCTTCTCTCCTTTTTTCTCCCCTATTTTGCCGTTTTTCGTTCTCGATAATGTTTTTCTGTTTGACTTTCGTTATTTAACATCGTACAAGATGCTTGTTACCTTTGCAAAGTTGCTTATAATAATTTATAAAATAAAAAGACTATTATATTGTACCACGAAATGGACTATAGTCTACATTTTTTTCTCGTTGTGTATTATTTGACTCTTAACATATTTACTAAGGTACATTATCATATTACTAATTTTTATGTAATTAATTTTATGTAATTAATTCTTTTTGTTCACGATTACTTTTCCAGAATTTTCTTATGACTTTGTTAATTCTTGATAAAAATGACTCGCAGCGTATTACACAGAAAGAAAAATTTTATATTAAGGAATTGTAAGAATATTGTAAGACCATGCACAGATTTTTAATTTAGATGTTTATATTATTGATAAGATTACATTGAAAATGACTCAATTGGAGTTGAAATGTTTGTTTATTTTAATTGTTTTGTATTAATTTTGCTTATTTAAATTAAAATTCTTTTATACGTTATTGGCCCTTCTTGTATACTACTTTTGTAAATAATTTTAGCAATTTAAAGATTACTTTATCTTATATAACACTATCAATATAAAGAAAGTAAAATATAACTTACCTAGATTCAAGCATGCTAGCGTGCTAGTGCACTTCCACTCTTTCTCATGTGTTGCGACTTTAACGTCGTCGACGACCAATGGCACCCAACCCCCAAATACATACATTCGATGACCGATTAAAGTGGCAGTATGGAGTGACCGTGGTAAAGGGGTAGGTCCATGAACCACTGGCTTGTTCCAAGTCATCGAATCAACATCGAGGAACCATAAGTCACCTAAACGGCAACCGCTCATACCACCATAAATCACTAGACAAGACTTGCCCGTGGTACGATCAGTATATGCCACTCCAGTATGGGATTCTCTAGGAGGTGGCGCGTGTCCATGCGTTTGTGGCACATCCCAGGCTGTATGGCCATTAGGAAGAAGTTCGAGCGTGTATAGATCATTCAAATATCTCGGTATATTATTTTTCGGATCATCACTGTCATTCGCCAGACCTCCAAAAAGGAAGACCCTATTACCAATGAGGGTAAAACTATGTCCTAATCGTGGACATGGTGGTGGTTCATGCTTAGGAGGCTTTGGTTTCAAACGTTTCCACTCCCATCGACTCGCTTGTAGTTCATACAACTCGTTAGAATATTTGCCATATTCTACCATTCCACCAAAGACAAAGATGCGAGTGCCATCAACAACAAAACCATATGCTGCACAACCTGGAGGAATGTCTCCCTTCGTCGAAGGCACAAACCACTGATTTGTTGCTGCAAAGATATATCTTGTATAAATATCTTGATACAAGATTAGATTGCAAAATTTATATTACGTATATATTATATTATATTTTTATTTTATGTAAATTTTTTAATATAAGGTAATAATCTTTTTTTTTCTATTTCTTATTAATGGTATATAAATATACAAAAGTGTATATAATGTGAAAAATATAAAAAATATAAAATATAAAATATTTGTTGTATATATTATTTATACATGTTATTCGTACTTTTTTTAAATTTCTACAAAATTATATATAATACATAACAATAAAAATATTTCGAACAGGTAATTTGATTTTGCAAAATTTTTTAAATAATTTAAACATAAAATGTATAAGTTAATGAAAAAATTTGTAATACTATTTAAATTTATTTTAAAACAATCTTATATACAAAATTAGATTTTGAATATCATTCATAGGTTGTAAAGGTTGATTCATATATCTTAAAACAAAGTGAAAATGATAAAAGTGAATTAATTAATGTATGTATAGAGAATCAGCAACTAAAAGATTGCAACACATTTTTTTCAATAAGTTGTGGAATGCAGCATGTTCACTAAGTTGTTACTTATGGATCCAAGAACCAATCACTCGGTGAATAGACTGTTTCCAAAATCTATTTTTAAAAAAGTATTGCATTCTTTTAGTTGCTAACTGCACTAGAATATTTATAATTTCTTAATTTAATTGGGATCAACATTTAGTAAACTTACATACTTATGTAATTTTCACTTCGTTTCAAAATACGTAATCATATTTTACATCTTTTCTCTTTATCCTTTCAACGTTTAGGTATGTTAATTATATTTTAATAGTGAAAGTATAATGTAACTAGAATCCGACCAAAACTTTTGCCGAAACTGAACCGAAACTCAGTTACATGTCAATTTTAACTGAAACCAAAATTAAAAATTAGGAATCCTATAAAGACCATATGTATAACACGTGCAAATACTTTTTCTTCATATCATAATTTATTGAAACAATAATTAAATTTCGGCTGAAATCGGAAATCGAAATTTTGGTTGAGTGTCAATTTTGGCCAAAGAATAAGTATTTCTTCTTCATAAATATCATAATTTAATTATTGAAACAATAATTACACATATTAAAATTAATATTTATGAAGAGCTATATGATTTCAGTATAAACTGATACATAAGTTTTCAGTTTCGGTAAAATTTTCGGTCGGACTCTAAATATAACATTAAAAAACTAATTAATGAGTGTTATTGGTGTCGAATTCAATAAAAAAAGCAGCTTTGTAACTATAAAATTCTTTAATATGTTTTGTTTTGCCCTTAATTGTAATTTTTTAGAATCTAATAGTCTGTTTTCTGTTCTTGCACTAAACGACACTAGCACTCTCTTTCTTACTTTCAACAAATATCAAACATATACCTATCTCACTTCAAGTTTCAAAAGTGTACATTAATTCAGCTACAGAAAACAGACTTTAAATATGCGTCCAATAATATTAAAGAATCTTAAGCCTATTCTACAATATGCTCCTTATTTCCTGTTTCTTGCCTTTTATTATTTTTTGCCAACAAGAAATTGTATTTCTTGTTTGTGGAAACGTGTTTCCTGTTTCTTCCAAAGTTCGTTAAAGCCTGTCTTACAATGTGCTTTTTGATTCCTGTTTCTTGCCTTTTTACATCTTGTTTTTTTGCTTCTTATCCGGTTTTTTGTTTTATATCGCCCGAGATAAAAGTTAACTTCGAAAGAAACAAGAAATACGTAGCAAGAAATATAATTGTTGATAAAACGGTTGCAAAGGAGAATAAAGCAAAAGGTAAGAAGAAAGAAACAAAGAGCACATTGCAGAATAGGCTTTACTTTTATTTCGACGACGTAAAACAAAAAACTGGATAAGAATCAAAAAGGCAAGATATAAAAAATAGCAAAAATCAGGAAACAGAAAACAAAAAGCACATTGTGGAATAGATTTTATGATTTGTATTCACAATGCTAAAAATGGCTGCGTTCAACAGAGAAAGCAGCTTTGCAAATGTTGTAAAACTTTTCAATATGATTGGTATTTAAATCCATAAGGAATCAAAAGCAAGAACAAATCGTATTGAAGAGGCCTGTTCTTTTTAGCTTATCATGGAATTCGAAATAAATTCGAATCGGAATTATTCTATTTTCCCTAGAAAACACAATAAGCCTGTTCCTTTTGGCTGAACTTTTGCACCAATTCTTCTCCAGAAGGAAAGAAAAGGAAGAAAGATGAACTGGTGCAAAAGTTCAGCCAAAAAGAACAGGCCTAATAGAAATCTAAGGAATAATTGAATAATTCCGATCGGAATTCCGAATCTAGTTCGACTTGTTCCACTGAACTTCTTGCACGATTCATCTTTTTTCCTTTTTCTCTCTACGTTGGAAAGAAAAAGAGAAAAGATGAATCGTGTAAGAACTTTAGCTGAAAGAAACAGACCTACTCATAATCAGATCTTATATTCAAGACCGTCTTAGGGGTTCCGCAAAATAAAGGGAACAGAAAATAGGGAATAAAAATTTCAACCTATCAGAAATTATGCATTCCACAGTATATGATTTTCGATAGGTTGAAATTCTTATTCTCTGTTCTTTTTATTTTGCGAAATCCCTTACAAAGTCACGAACTAGCCAAAGGATCTTAAGACATTACTTAATCGTTGTACACAATAAAAAGAATAAGGAATAAAGAATAAACGATTCTAACCTATCAGAAATCGGATACATCGGAATACGCGGTTTCTGATAGGTTGAAACCGTTTATTCTTTATTCCTAATTCCTTCTATTGTACGCAGGGCCTTAGGAAAGTCTTGAAATAAAAACGGACCATAAATACCGCCCTAAGAATTTTACAACAGTTACAAAGCTATTTTCTCTGCTGAACACAGCTATTCTGTCTCGAATGGAGAAAGAATTGACCAATCGCATTGAACATATGATCGAATCGTTCGAATGTAATTTGATTCTTTCCCTCGATCTCGGATAGATTTCTTTGCAAAAATTTCAAAGCTGCTTTTTCTGCCGAACGCAGTCATTTTTAGTTGCACTCTATCTTTTGTACTCGGAAGATTCGTTTAAGCGATAAAAAAAAGAATTGCAAAGGAAAAGTGCACACGGCGCAGCTACAAAGAGCAGAGACCATATGCATCCCGGCTGTTACCATGGCGAGTTCGCGCGCAAGGACAAACATTTCGAAATCGGATTCGAAGTGCGCGCAGCAGCAGACGCAGGCGCAGGCGCACGGCAGTCGGCGACGTAGCGCGAGAAAGATAATAATGTACGTGCGGACGCGCGCGGGAGGCGGAAGAAGGGCAGAGAGAAGGAACGAGAACGAAAGGAAAAAGGAGAAAGAAAAGCGGAGGAGCGCGAACGTGGAATGACGGGAAACTTCACTCGGCGCGTTGCATAGCGGCATTGGGGGGTCGGGGAGGGAACGAGCAGGAACGAAGGAGGGGGAACGTTAGAGACAGCAATGGCCGCTCCCGCGCGTATAAACATGTAGAATGACAGACCGTGACGATTTCGCAGGTCCGTCAAGACCGAGCGGCTGTCCCGAGGAAACGAGGACGTTCGCGCGGTCGGGCTCGACGGCAAACGTCGGGCCCGGACGCCGTCCGTTCCGTTCGGGAGGCGAAATCGACGCGTTCGTCCCAGGATCCGGCCGGTCACGGTCTTGTCAACGTATGCCGCCATATTGGTTCGCGGGAATCGCCACTCGCCAGGTACGGCGCGGCGCGGCGCATGTAAAGTAAAGGGATGCACGGCGGCGTAGCACGAGTACACTCGGGGGATCAACTCACCCGTATTGTATACGTGTAATTCATCGACAATACCCTCATTCCCGCCGCCGAAAACGACCATGAGATCCTTAATGGCGACCGCCCGGTGGCCATGCCTGGGTCGCGGCTGGGGCCCGGTCGGATTCGCGATCCGCTTCCACTTTAGCATGGGTGCCGCCATGATGACCGTCGATCACATCATTTTTTCATACCGTGCGGTCGTACAACACCACTAGCACTATCAACGTCGTTTTCCTCGTAATTTGTTACTTGTCGTTCGCTGCCACTCGGTTACTCTTTGCGCGACGCTCGGAGGATTTACACGGGCGTCCCCCTCTTTTATCACAGAAACCGTAGCCCGTCTGTCGTGACGGCACTGACGGTAGTTTTCGACGGCTTCCGACGATAACAGTAATACTCGAGAGTCAACTCGAATTTTCGTTAAACTTACACCACTTCCTCGAGCCGTTCGAGTCGCACCGCTCTCGATGCTGCACGTCCCGATTCTAACCTCACTGAAAGTGCCGTTTCACAGCGCGACCTCCCGCGCGCACTCGTATTCGCTCTCGACGTTTCGAATGCCGTGCCGCGACGTCCGAACGTCCGGCGATGGGCTGTTTCTCGTTCGTTGGCGCGCGTTCGCCGTTCGCGGCTCGAGTCCACCGCACTTGCAATCGGTGACAAAAGCCGCAGGTCGCGAACCAATTCCAGGGGCGCCGAGATTCGCCGCTTCGAGAACAGTATACGTCCCAACGGCGCGCAACACGTACACACGTACAGAAGAGATGACGCGCACCGTGTGTGTGCTTCGACGCGCAAGTATTCGTGTGCGTCCGTATTTACGTATACGCGCTGTTTACGGTCGTCGACAACGTGGAACGCTAGAGTGACAACTCGGTACGCGCTGCGGCCCGGGCGGATACGCGATTGCAAGATCCACTCGTATCGCGACTATCGAGCTTCTCGAGATTCTCGAGACAATCGAGAACAATCGGTAAGATTCTCGAGAATGATCGGTGATGATGGTGGTAGTGGTGATAGTGGTGGTGGTGGTGGCGGCGGCGTCGTCGTCGTCGATCCCGGGGAGCTCGAGAGCGTTCTGTGTGCGCGCGCGCACCGATTTTCGCTCTCACTCTCACCTATTCGTCCGCTGCCACCGCTTCCGTACCCTCTCGCGGTGAAACCTGCGTCAAAACGAACGAAAAACGGCGCGACAAGATATCACTATAGGACGATCGAGCAACGCTGAGCAAAGCGACCCGTATCCGCGAACCGATGCTTTTGATGAGCGTAGACGTGATTATCGATCACCGGCGACGAGCGACTCCGTTGTACTTATCGGGAAAACTGCCGGAATATTCGATAGCTCGATGGCGCGCACGAGCGGCCTTCGCGGACCTCGTCCACCATTACACACAACGCGTCGGTGACGAGTAGTAACAAGCGCATTGCCAACCGCCGCTGTTCTGCAGAATTTCGAGCGATTAATCGATTCGATTTTCGAAGCTGCTTTCGTGATCGATCTTTGTTTCGATCTTTGTTCCAATTTGAAGATAAACATTTGTCACTAGGGTAAGGACAAAAAAAATCAACCAATCAGAGGTTTAGAAAATTATGAAAATTGTCCAGAAAATTATTAAGAATCCTATGCACAAAAATGAAGAAATATTAGAAACAACAAATATTAAATATTAGAGTAATAACAAATTAAGAATGAAGGTTGAACCATTGTGCGTTACGTTTAATTTTATATTTCTAATTTTTTGCATTTTTAATATTTAATATTTTCTCCATTGTATGCAAAGCTCTTCAAAGTATTTCAATGTACACCTAATAAAATAATCATATGTGAAGATGTTATTTAATTGCAAATTATTGCTGGAATAAAGGTTTTCTAAATTTTATGTAATTAATCAATTTTTGATACACGTTAATCGTTTGATACAGATTAGATCTTATAAACAAAATTTTATATAAAGTAGCATATATTTGTTCCAATTCTTTACATTTTGATTTTATATATTATACAGAGTGTCCCATATTTTCGCAATTGTTAACAAGATATTTTTTATTAAAACTCGCTGAATATTAATTTTCAATAATTTTTTATTCAAATACTATTAACTTTAGGAAAGCAAGAAACAAAAATTGTTTATTTTCTTATCATAAAATTCTGAGAATTTTTTCAGAATTTTTTAATATCATATTTTCTCATGTTGATAAAAATAAGAAAATGCAGCACTGAAAAGTTGATAAAAAATTCAGAAAAAATTCTTAGAGTTAAGAAAAGAAAAAAAAATAATTTTTGTCTCTTGCTGACTAAAGTTGATAGTATTTGAGAAAAAAATTATTGAAGACCAATATTCGACAATTTTTTAATTAATATCTTGTTAACTATTGCGAAAATTGCAAAATGGCAAAGGACTTTTCGATTCAGTTTAGTCCGCTCTACCTGCCCACTAGCGTTGTCGAATGAATGACGGGACATACCTATCAGGAATTTATCGTACTTTGGTAATATGATAGGAATTTGTAAGATTTTATTCGCAAACATTGCACTCTTTTTACATAAATATTTTAATTTTCTTATAAATCATCCTAAGTTGAGATATTTATCTCTGTTAATGCATTATACTTTTATGTCCACTTTTAACACATATTATAAAGCAAAATAATGCTGTAAATTAAAATAGAATTAGAAATATACAAAAGAAATTGTCACATTCAATTAATAGAGAATATTTAGAAGTATGTTTAAGATTCAAATCTTACGGAATGCTAAAGTACATCTATTTTTGCTAAAGCTAGAAATATTTCTTGCTTCTCTTTTGATCTCTAATTTGAAATTATTAAAACTGTGTATCTTACAATTAAGAAAATCTGTAGATTTCTTGAGAGAAATGTTTCAACATTCCTCTGATTGAATAAAAATTCATAAATTGATAACAGTATAAATGGAATATTAATGTTCTTTGCCTATCAACGCGACTTCGCATATTTTGCATACTGTATCTTTAAACTGTGGACTGTAGCTGGCACCACATAAGGGGCATTTTACTTCCGGTTTTCCTTTATAAATAGGTGTGAACGTGCTTGCGCACAATGAGAATGGATTGTGCTCGTCATACACTAATTTATGCTCGTCGACAGGATTCTTGTCACAAGACTGAAAAAAGAACAAATTAAGTTTTTCATTTATAGCAATTAATTATTTATATAAATATTATTTTATAACAAAAAATCAAATTACCTGTAACAAAACTCGAATTTTTTGTGCAAGTTCTGGATTTGGTCCAAGCTCGAGTAATCTTCTCGCGAACGAAGCAGCAGTTTTGTAATTCTTTAGCTTGTAGAACAAATTCACAGCTACTTGAAGAGTAAGAATCTGATGTACAGGTTGTAGATTACAATGCGTAAAATAAGCTGCCATTTCGCAAATCCTTTTCTGTTCTGCTAATGTGGCTCTTGGCAGACTTTTACGCTCAGTTTCCATCTTTAAACCTAAGATATACTCGCGACAAATCTGAATCAGCTGTTGAGCTTCTGCAATATCTTGCTTAGTATCGACAACGAGTAATGGTACACTTAGCAAGATACTTTGCAGCTTTTCTATTGCCTTGGCAAACTTGCCGTTGGTCGTCAACTGATAGCATACTTGAAGACGCTGAACTAATTCAGTAAGATGCAATCCCACCGCAGGTAAACCTGTTTTCGACGTAGTATCTTTCCAGTTAGTATCCTTCCAATTTCTTTGAGGATATCCATATAATGATGGTATACTAGGTAAACAAGCGTATGATGTTCTGCAGCGAGAGTACGTATTTAAGAACAGAGATTGATAAGGTCCAAACTCCACAACTCCGACTTGATTATTTAATAGTCTGAAAGCGGATTCAAACGATCCAGCCAATATATGATCAACTACTAATTTAGAATTATTAACCCAATGCTGTGGTGGTGAAACCCCTTTAGTAGGTAGACATTCATAATTATTGCTTTCGTCGGAAGTCGCTGCAGCTTCGAGTTCTGGTGGAAGATCAACGTCCTCGACATCCCATCCAGGATTTTCTTCACCTTCTGGCACAATTTCCGTGTCTACGCCTTCTTCGTCATCTATACCGAGTTCCTCGTCATTGCCCCATCCTTCAGGGGTTGCTTCTCCGTTGTCTTCTAGAGCAAGAGCAGCAGCCACTTGAGTCCTGCTGCGGGACATCATTGCGCCTTCGAAAAAGCCTTTAGAAACAGTCAACAACGGCCAGTTGTTCTCAGCTTGTTGAATAGGTACAGGTGGACGAAGATATGTGGCACCTTTCTCCAGCGCAGAAAGTTCCTCGCTCATCGATTCATAATCGCCGTCATCATCTTCATTTGATATTCCGTGAATTTTCTCAGTAACATATGCCAACGATGCTTGTCCAGAGTTCTGTGAACAGAAATTTATACATAATTTGTACGCAATGTTGTAAAACATACTTATTTATATATTTTAATTGTAATTAATAATCACAATTAATGAAGAGTTTTGTTTTCAATATACAGGGAGTCTGATAATTAATGATAAAACTCTCGCATAGTGGTAGAATGAACTAAACTGGATCGAAAAGTTCTCAACCTTTTTGCAATTTTTGTAATAGTTAATAAGATATTAATTTATAAAAATCGCTGAATATTTTTAATAATTTTTTACTCAAATACTATCTTTTAAATACTATTAATTTTACAGAAAAACAATGAGAGACAAAAATTGTTTATTTTCTTCTCATAAAATTCAGAGAATTTTTCAGAATTTTTTAGTACCGTACTTTCTCATGTTGATAAAAATTGCCAATATATGTATAAGAAAATCCTGTACTAAAAAAAGTTGATAAATAATTCTAAAATCTTAGAAATATTCTTCTCTATGAAAAGAAAATTAACAATTTTTGTCTCTTGCTGTTTTTCTATAAAGTTGATAATATTTGAGTAAAAAATTATTGAAGACCAATATTCAACAATTTTTAGTAATTAATCTTATTAACTATTGCGAAAATTGCAAAATAATAAAGGACTTTTCGAGTTTAATCCATTCTGCTGTTATGCGAAAATTTTATCGTTAATTATCAGACACTCTGTATATAAAAAATTATTGATTAATAGATATATATTATACCCGCAAAATCTTAGCCCGTTCGTAAATGTCTCCAAGAAGTAAACTTCCTTGATATTGACCAGACACATCTTTCCGAATTTCTGCGATTTTTATCATTTTGCGTAGCTTTTCCAAGTTACCAGTTATTAAATAAAGGAAAGCCAATTTCTCGAAGTTCTTGGTTCTTTGATAACACATTTCCACAACTTGATGATTGCCTTGCAGTAAAGCTGTTTGCGCCAAACTCTCCCAGCACGATTTTTGATCGAGCGATCTCGCCGCTTCCAATGCGACTTCGATATTTCCACATTCAAGTGCAAGACCGAATCTGGTCTTTTCATCTTTCACGAAATGAAGAGCCACTTCTGGATATCCCTTTTGCTGCAAGTATGCTATAATCGATTGCCCAATAAGATTTGCGTTGCGAACCATATGTAAAACTTCCTCATATTTTCTGTTAATTAATGCTAGCTTGAATTTGTATTCTGTTGAATCTATTCGGAGAATCCTCGGCTTACATTCTCGATCCAAGCAATAAACTTGATTGCCTTTTACTCTCGTAACATATATCGGTAAATCTAACGTACGAATGATGCCGTAATCACCATTGCTAATTGCGTATTTAATATGATTGCTGGTCGTGTAAATAAATACGCCGGAATCATCCCAAGCGCCGGACTTTACTCTAGTGTTTTCGTGTATGCAACAGAGAGATTCCAATCGACGATTACAAATGTTGACGGTATGTTTGGCCAACAGTGCAACATGAGACATGTCGCTGGACCATACAACGTATCTACACTTGGCGATTTTTTCTTCTGCCAATGTTCTCTTCTGTTGTACATCAAACAGTGTTACTTGTTCCGGATCGCGCAAAAGCAACATACCAGTACCGGCGTAAAATATTTCGTCACAATTTGGAATTTGTACTTTCTTCGTGACTTCGTTTTTTAAATTCTTGATAACTAACTAAAAAAAGGAAAATCAATTATTAAATTATATGAATTATAAAAATATTATAGAAATATAACGAAAAATAATAAAGTATCAAAAATTATACATAGAAGTAAAAGAGAAGTAGAATAAACATGATAAGAATGTACATAAGATTTTCATTCAATTGAAGTAAATTAATTCAAATAATTTAATTACAGAATTTCAAATATTTTGAAATCCGTATATAAAAATATTATGTAAAATATATTTATCTTACCGAATATGCTCTATCTAATACAGCGAATCGATTTCTGGCAACCCAAATGGCAGTAACACCGGATGCCCGTTTCGTATCAGCATCCGTGCTCGAATCTCCTTCACGTGGTATCATATACAAATCATAAGTACTATTCTCAATATTCGAGGGCGATCTTGTACAGATTAAAACGCTATTTTCCGCCTGATTGTACGACATGCTGTAAGGTGGAGTTTTTCCTCCGCCGCGTATTTGCATCACCGATGTATCCTTTGACGTGGTGAAATCTAGCTTTCGAAGAAAACGATCTTTCACATAATATAGAAGATTTCCGCAAACTGCATATGCGGGACGTTCTCTCTCGAGTTTGAAAATTATCATTCCAGAATCGTGACCGGCGGCAAAAAGATTAAGCGTTGGATGTGCGGCAAGAACCCAGAATCTCTCATGTTCCCTTCTAAACGTGTGCAAACATGTGCGTTTCGTCATGTCCCAGACTCTAATACTTTTATCTTCTGAATTGGAAAGAATGAGGTCCTGTCTAGGATGAAAGAGTACACAGGACACATTATTGTAATGACCGCGACATGTGTCTACCTCCCAAGCCTTAGCATCATTCATTCGCCACATTTTGATCTGTCGATCGTCAGCTCCGGAGACAATAAGAGGCAATGTTCCGTGAAAGCATGCCCAGTTTACGCCTCTGTCGTGACCTTCCAAAACATATTTCACTACTGCATCGGCTTGACCGAACAAATCGGTCGCTCCTGGATTCTTCAGATGATCTTCGAGACCTCCCGGACCCGGTGCCACGTTCTTCTTGCGCAATCCTGCAATTGCATTCGTTCGGTTATTGTCAGAATCATTTGCCTGTCAATAATTACGTAACTATAAAATTTTCTCCTTGAATTCTGTAATTATGTAGTTGTATTGATAAATATATAAATAATGAAAAAATATAAATTACATATAAATTTATTAATAAATTTCTCATGAAATAACAAATTTAAGAGAAATTTTTTAGATCTATTTTTATTTTAATTAATTTTTATTTTCTAAAACTTTCAGCAATATGTGTGAGAAATAATTTCTGCACGAACCGGAAATATCCCAAACGCGGACCGTTTGATCCAATGAAGCTGACACGATGATATCCTCTGTGGGATGAAATTGGGCACACATTACATAATGGTTGTGTCCAGTCAGTACACAAATGCAAGTGCGACTTTGCCAGTTCCAGATTCGAATAGTCTGATCATCTGAAGCACTGAGGATCCAAGGATATTCTTGATGAAACATTGTGGTCCTAATGTAATCCAGGTGACCCAAAAGGGTGAAGATACATCTTCGTTGTTTGTAATTCCAAACTTTAATCTTATAATCGTCGCCGCCAGAAACAAATAATGGCTGCTGATTGTGAAAACATATGCCTCGAACGGGTCCGTCATGTTCATCGAATTTGTCGAGCAGGGCGCACATACGGTAATCCCATAGTTGGATAACGCCATTATGTAAACTGTAATTTATTTATGAATGTAAAAGATATAATGCAATATTTTTACTGATTCCATTTTTTTTTTTGCATTTATGTAAGAAATACAGTAATTATTTGATATAATTAAATATACATAAAATCTCTTACATTCATATTTTTTATTTTATTTTTATAGCTTGATATTTAAATCTGACGAGCTATATATATATACATATGTATGTATATGTACTCACAAATATTCATTTTTTAAATTTTTACTTCATTCTTGCAACAATCTTTTATATATAAATGTATTTCATTTATGTATAAATATATGGTACCAATTACGAAACTGCTTATTGGTTTATACGCTATACATATTTTTTTCAATTGTGCCATGAATCATATACGGAACGTTTATAAGTGCCCTCGATTGCGAAAACCAATGGTTCGCACGATTTTTTTCTGGGCGTACAATTACAAAATGAAGTATAAATATAGAGGTCATTCGGAAACTGGATTTCGGGCCTACGCCTCTATACAGGGTGTCCCAATAACATAATGGAAACAATACGAAAGTAAAAATCAAGATTATTACTTGTTTACAAATTCTTATACAAATTTCATTATTTCTATACTGATTTAATTTTTTCTTGTAATTCAAATATAAAAAAGTCAATAATTAAGACATTCTTGATGAAATTTAATATAGATCTTTGTAGTTCACATTTAGTCGCCTTATATATTTCGTATACATATATTATCTTAAAAGATAGGTATTATAGATTTGTTAATTTAATATTTTAATTTGTGTGTGAGTACCCAAAAATGTACAATCCTTTTTTATTCCTTCCACCATCTATCAATAATCTTTTTAATATACACATAAATATTAAACACTTATATAAATCATTCGCTCATAAGTATACATATATCTAATAAAGAGATCAGAAATGCCTAATTTGTCACATTAATCTGCTTTTCTGAATAATTCATTATATCTTGGTTACACCCATCTCTTCAAAAATAAAGTCCGACCCAAATTTCGGTTTCAATTCCGGTCAGTTTCGATAAAAAAAGTTTCGATAAGTAAATCGAAACTGTACAAATTGCAACACGTTGACGAATATTCGAAAAACTACATGTTATCGTCGGCTGATCAACGCCAAATCATGCCGATACTATTTCTTTTTTTCTTCATCCTTTTTTGCTCAAGTCGCCATATATTTAGTGCCTGAAATTCCTTGTAACTTATAAAAAAATTTCTTATGATTTAAGAAATAATAAAACATTAATAAAATCTTATTTTTAAAAAAGTACATAAATTTCATATATTTTGACAATTTCCAATAATTCTCTAAAAATAACATGGTGTTTGTAAGATTTATCCAATTTCGGTTTCGGCCGAATATTTTCAATTTCGACCGAAATTTGTATTCCTTGCTTCTTAGCTTGTATTTCTCTTATTAGATTTGATTACTTATTCCGATTACAATTTCATAATATTACAATATTACGATTACAATATTATAATATTTGTACTTTTTAACAGAAACAAGTTATGTTTGTCTATAATCTACATACACAATCAAGAGGAATACATGGTTTTCGATTACAACATTCTTGTAACATTTATTCTAAATTGAGCGAGTTTGATTATTAATGATCGAGAGCGAACTTTGATTTTTGTAATATTTCCACCAGTTTTTGTTTACATTGATAATGATCCAACAGGGATCGAAACGTTTATTTTTATTTTGTTTGTTACCGGTAAAAAGTTTATATTTTAATTAGATGACATTTTTTATTTATTAACAGTTTAATAATTTTTATTTTATAACAACTATTTTAGGCTCGTAGTCCTTTGTCTTTCTGTTTTTTAAATTTATTGAGCCTTATTATAATACTATTATAGTTTAATTTAAATATATTTTATATTTTATATTGAATATATATTATATTTTAAATTTATATATTATAAATATTATAGCTATAACAAATATAATTTTACTATTTATTAATTATAAAATATTTTTATAAAACATATTTTAGTGTTATTATTAATATTATTGAAGAAAGTAAATATATTACGTATATAATTAATAAATATATTCATATATTATATAATTTTGTAGCAACTTGATAAATCTTTTTATATAAAATTGCATCGCGAGAATAATTTATTTTTTGAAACTAAACGATATATTCTTACAAAACGCATAATACATAACTAAATCCATCAAGAAAAATCCATGCAAAAAATTATCCAAGATTCGATCTGCACTACATTTCAACGAATCCAACGATAATTGAGGGACAGGACTCACATATCCCCTTAGGACATTTTTACAGAATCAGGTCATCAGAAACAGAGGTATACGAAATATGAGAGTGGTGGGGATGTTAAATGCGTTGGTGCCGTGTATATAGAGATCGCATCATTACATATCTTGGTAGTTCACTTTTTAATTTCATTAAGGTCACATCCTTTTGTACAAAACAAATTTTTGACAATGGTGCTTTTCCAGTTTTTTACCACTACTGTTGTAAGTATGCATTTGTATTTAAATGAAAAATTTATATATACTATATAAAATGTCTGATTCATTTTAATCCTTAAATATCTTTTCGGTATGGCGTATATTCGGTATGGCTCGGCTTTTATTCAACGCTTTTTCTATTGCTTATAATTTTTTTTTATTAAGATACATACATTTGCTTCGTACTCTTATAATCCTTAATCTGGCGTTTCGATAAAAAAAAATTTACAATATGTTCATATTTATGAAAATTATAAGCAATTGAATTGGGTGGATACGTCACATTATAGTGTGTTGTTCCCGTAATTTAAGACATTTAAGATATTTAATAATTTCATTTTAAATACTTCAATAAATTTAAGACTTTGTGTATTTATGAATTACATAATATATAAATTTTGTACCGATAATTAATTATTAATGTAATTCATAACTTTATATAAAAAAAAAAAGAAATTTTTTTCATTTTTTCAGCTCTTGTCAAGTTTAACGTCAGTGAAACCATATTCTGTTCCATACCAGAACATTCAACTATTTTCCATCACACCAAAATTGATATATACATCTGAATCTAATCCTACTTTCAGTGGATATTCCTATATAACTCAAGATTTTAATGGTGGTGAAAGTAAAGTTGTTTTTACAACTGGTGCTGATTCTATGAACAGATTGAAGAATGAAATAAATTCAATGAAGATATCGGAAGGATATTCACAAAAAGAAAAAGACCAAGAGAATACAAAATCCTCAGAACAATCTGAATCCATAAAGGCTGAAGAAAATAAAAACAAACAAGATCTTGACTCAAATATTGAAGTTCTCAATGAAGAAAGGAAATTTTCAAAAAATCCTGAAGCAGATAATCTTATTGAACATCAATCGAATCTTCAACAAGTTTCCCTTATAGATGTATCTTATCCTGCATTTAGAGAAAATTTATTAAATTTACATCTTCCAGAATTTTCAAGATATCAAATATCAAATGTAATACAGAACCAATACTATCCTTACAATCCTTACGCTCGCTTACAACTGCCTTTAAATAATTTTGATTTTTATAATCCTACTGTGCCACTATTTTATCAAGCAGCAGCAGTCATTTCTGATAGTAATTCCAAGTCAACATCTACGGCTACTGAAAATACAAAAGCATCTGTGGAATCATATATTGCTAAAAACTCACAAACAAACACTACTAATTCTGAATCTAACTCAGTAAAATCTCATATAATATCAGAATTCAATTTAGAATCAACAACAAATGCAATCGAAGAAACGCCATCAAAACAATCTGTTACTTCCATAAAGAAACTTGAATCTATATCTGAAAGAATTAGAGAAGAAATTACAACTAGTGAGTCTACAGTAACATCTCAGAAATCTGTCGAAGAGATTACAGATAAAAAAGCGAATAGTACCGAATTTACAAGTACAGAAACAAGTCTTCTGGCAGAGAAATCAAATACTGCAATATAAGAAATGTACAAGATGTATAAAACACCAGCTAAAATATAAATTTATATATACTCTATTTTGTGTATTACATTTATAATACATTTATAATAGGCTTTTTAATAAAATGCTACAAAATCTCCTGCATTTATGTAAAAATGAATCTTTTAATATTTAATATTTATCAAATTATGAATAAATCTTCTTCATCTTAGCAGTAAAATAAAAATAATTTATGAATTTACAAATTAATTCCTTTCATACAATTCTATTAGTATCTGTGTTTAAATTGTTGAAAATACTGTGCGTTGAGTAAGAGGTTATGTCTATCAATATGCAATTACAAATTCATGCCAATATTTATCAAATAATTTTCTAGCAAATAATTCTGATGAAACATTTTGCTTTTACAAACAGATAAATACTTAATTAGTACAATGTCACCAAATGGTCAAGAAATTAATTTAAAGAAAACCTTTACCTTGCAAGCACCCATGGACGTTTCGGATGGAAGGACAAGCCCTTCACTCGAGCAGACTTCGTCTCGAACTTCGTCAACATTTTACTTTAACTAATTGTTTGAAATACGACGTAATTAATTAAACATCACCCTCTCGAAATTCTTTAAACTTTTGACACGACAGGAGACACGTCACTATATAATCATGAACTATAATGACATCTATATAAAACATAGATGCGATTCGTACTTTATTTTTCTGTAATTTTTATTCTAGTTACATTTTAGTTACAAAATCAAATTTCCTAGAAATACGGATGCATTTTCGAAGCATTTGATTGGTTGTCCAAAGTGCTCGTCGCCATATTTGTATCACCAACCAAGAAATTGGAAACATATCGATGAGTTGTACGCGTTGTGCTCTGATTGGCTACGCCACAATGCAGCAAACACGTTGTCGTCTGGTCCGCCTAACCTTGGACATCAATCTGTCAGACGTTTCAAATGAAACTATTCGGAGCAATTATGATTTAGTCTGAGATAGAATAAACGTTCGGAAGTCCGTCCGCTTCTTATTCCTCGAGAATAAAACAGACATTTTCCTCTGTGCTTCCTCTTTGTAATTTTTTTTGTAAATATATTGTAGTCGTGTCGATAGCCGGTACGCTATAATGCGAGTGCCGAACAAGTTTGTTTTTCTTAGCATTTTTGTGATCCTATCGACTTGCATGAGCAGCATCCAATGCGAGAAAGGAAAACTGGGCGAGGAAGAACTCAAGTCTCAAAAATTTCCACCCTGCGCAGCGTGCAAAGTATTTACCAATAGTTTCAAAAAGGTAAACAGATTTCTAATTTTGAAGTATTTAATAAGTTATATATATTAAAATCTTTTTGTAAGTTAAAATTATCAAAAGAAACGTAACACAGTTGTATTACGTTATTTAGATACATAATTTTAGGATATTTTATAATAATTCTTTCATGAATTATAATTATTTCATAGGGTTTAGAAAAGACAAGCCGTGGAAAGTTTGAAGGTGGAGATAGCGCTTGGGAGGAGGATAAGTTAGGCACATATTCAAGAAGTGAAATACGATTGATTGAGATACAAGAGAACTTATGTAAAGACGTTGAACGTGGTCAGGTGCAGTGTCAATCTTTAGCTGAAGAATTAGAAAATCAGATAGAAGAATGGTGGTTTAAGCATCAAGATACTCATCCAGATATATATGATTATATCTGTATTGAAAAGACAGAGCGCTGTTGTCCAAAAGATCATTATGGCCCAAATTGTACACAGTGTCCAGGATATCCAGATAACATCTGCAATAATAATGGCAAATGTAAAGGGGCTGGCACGAGAAAGGGAAACGGAGGCTGTTTTTGTGAAAAAGGATATATTGGAGACATCTGTTCAGAATGTGCTTCGGGATACTATGAATCTTACAAAGATGAAAAAACTTTGCTATGTTCTGTATGCCATACAGCGTGTGACGGACCTTGCAGAGGTGCTGGTCCAAAGGATTGCGAGAAATGTACTGCTGGATGGGACATGATTGAAAACAAAGGCTGTTTTGACATCAATGAATGTTTAAAAGATGATATTTGTCCTAGCAATCAATTCTGTGTTAATAAAGAAGGAAACTATGCTTGTTTGGGTATATATATTTTCTATTTTTACTAAATTATTTATTTTTGTAATATGGATATACTAAAATAAAAACTTGGAATCTTTTTAGCTTGTGACAAAGCTTGTAATAGTTGCACCGGCGATGGGCCAGACATGTGTATCAGATGCACTGAAGGTTATCATAAACAGGATAATTTATGTATAAGTAAGTACAGTATTATAGAGAACAATATAACATAGTATTTTAAATGTATATTTATAATTTATATTAATTTAGATTCAGATCTTCTTGGCCGCAAGAAACAAGAAAATCTGGCGAGATATCTAACATATTTCGGACTTTGTGTGGCAACATGTATCATTTTGCAGCGTAACATTTATGTTGCAAGCATTATTGGTTTGTTGGTTGCAATGTATATATCTGTCTCAGAATATATGATTGCACATAGCAATGTTCAGGATACGACAACAAACATGGATATTCTAGGACCAGCTTAAATAGAAATCCAATTTAAATTTTCTAAATATAAAGTCATTTCATTGTGTTATATCAAGATAGAGTCATTATCCATATGTAAAATAGATCATATTAAAATTAATATATAATTAATTGTATAAAATGAAAAAATGTCAGAATTTTGCTTTTGTTTATTAATATCTATATATTTGCTTTTCACATAATTATTTCATTTTTATTTAAATATTAAAGTATCTCAAAAATTATATGGCCAGTTTTTTTTAGTATTTTTTTGTCTATCAAAGTTTTAATATTAGCTTCTCATCCAAAATATCTTTGGTTATACAGGGTAATAGGAATCAAGCACGGTAATTCTTGTGTAAGCCAATACAGTTAACAAAACAACTTTATTAATAATTAATCCGCTAAGCGTGCTTGAGTCCTATTGCCCTGTTATATCCAACCATTTTGTATCATTAAGGAGTCTTTACGATTTTAATTTATATCCAAAATATCTTTATTACTGCATATACATATTATATCACATATGCGTATTATATATATTTTATATTATTGTAAATATTATGTCTCAATGTAGAAAAAATAATAAGAAAAGTTATTATACATTTAAAATAAGTATATACATAACAAAACAAAATGTACAACATATATTACTTGGCATTTTTATACTCGTAAAAGATTTAAATGATTTTTGTTGATATACATATATTTCTATAATTTCTGACAGTCATGATGTAATAACATCAACTTCAATAAAGAAAACATAATATTATCAATAATTAATAAAATTTGATTAAAAATTATGATATATATTATGCATTTGGTACAATATATTAATTTATGTCAATACATCATATGTGCACTTACATATAATATTTAATTTAGCAAATATATTACTTGAGTAAAATTGTATTTCCATTCCCTCCCTATTATTAAACAATCTCTTAATACACTAATATTATAGAAATATTTAAATAATATACAAATATTTTTATAAATTATAATATATTTTTATAAATTAATTATTTAAATTTTAAATAATCTCTCATATTTTATAAGGGTAGATATAAATTATTTTAATTCTTGATTACTAGGTTCCTTAATTCGTCGCTAGAAGACCAAAAAATAAGAACACTTTCTCGTATTTAAATTTCAACATTTTATTTATATAAATTCTGTATTAAAAGAAAATTTTATAAGCAATACTCAATATATATATTTTTTGGAAGTAGTTTAAAATTTTTAAACTACTTTTTATATAAGACTAAAATTAATAATTTATTTACACTAGGAGTAAAATATTAAAATAATTTTATTATTATTTGTTTGAGTTTATATTGTGATATCGAATATATTTTCAGTCTTATAAAATGATATTATACTAAAACATTTATATAACAGAAGTATCTTCATGATAACTTTATTAATATGTAGATATAAGCTCTGATATGACTAAATTTTCATAATACCACATTGATGTTTTAATTTTATTTTCTGATTTAGGTATGATATGTATTAACAAGCGATTTTTATCTATCTCGAATTTTGTACGTAGAGAAATTAAAATATATGTTTAATTCGTAAAATGTATAATATTTATGTGCAATATTTTGTATTTAATTCTTTTAATATCCCTGGCGAAAAGTTTTTACGAAAACCTACATAGATTCAGACAAGGTCTTAGTTTTTCGTAGATATACGTAGAGTAACATTGTTTATTTGAGAAACTAAAAAATTCTCCGCCCTCAAAAAATGAGGTTCCACTCTGCGTTCCACTACGAATATCTACGAAAAATTAAGGATTTCTGAGACAAACAAACCTCACTACGAAAAATTAAGAATTTCTAATCTTGTCTCAATAATTTTCTGTACTTTTTCATAAAAATTTTTATTGCGCCACAGATATTATACATGATTAATATTCTTATGCGTGCGTGCGTGCGTGCGTGCGTGCGTGTGTGTATATCTTATATATTATTCGATTAAGCCTAATTGCATTAAGTCTTTGCTCACAGTGCGAGCCTCGCACTAATCTTAAAATAGCTGAAATATCATATGACTATCTAAAAAGAGTTCTTAATTCATCCCTAGGTGAATGAACTGAAAAATAGTTTCTCATAGTTAAATTTTAACAGATTTCTTTTATATATTTCACATTTATCAAACAACTTATACATATAAGCAATACTCATTCACATTTTATCTAACTTTTTGAAGGTATTTCTTGAAAAGTATCAAATCGTTTAAAAAGTAATTTCAAGAATGTTTAATGAAAGATTGTAATACTGGTCATATTCGAATTTGAGTATGTTTAGTTCCGTATAAGGCCATGATATGCATGCTAGTATCATTTTATTCTTATTTAAGTGCTTTGGGACGCAGTCATATAGGTATTTATAATCAATTCTTATTATTCAAGACCATCTTAAGTTTATCTTGAGATGTCACGAACTAATCAGAGGCCATATCAGCGTCTTAAGACATTGGTCTTGAAATAAAAATCAATTGTTAATACCGCAACCATAAATTGCCAATAATGAAAATATACAGTTTCCAGTAATTCACGTAACGTTTTCAGTACTGGCAGTGAATATTAGAACGACTACTGATACATACATCCATTGTTAGCAGTCAGGCAAGTTCTTGCATGATTCATCTTTCTTCTTTTTCTCTCCAACATGGAGAGAAAAAGAAAAAAGATGAACCGTGCAATAAGTTCAGCTAAAAGAACAGGTCAGTATCAATAGCAATAAAATTAGCTAAACTGTCACTAGATGGCTAAACCTGAAAACTGTTTCTTGTATTTATAATTTAACATAATTTCTTTATAAGTAACATTTTCACGTAATTCAGTATAAGCAATACTCAATATTTAATCTATCATGAATTTTTTGAATAGTAATCGATTTTAAAAAAACGTTAGATAATTCAAAAAGTAATTTATTTTTACTAATATCTTGATCATTGCGAAAGTGCGATGGATTAATTATATTTTAATTATTATCAATAAAAATAGCACGAGCAAAAATAATTTTTATAGAAAAGCTGAGATTTCAACATTATTTAATTAAAAATGT